GTTTGCTTTGTCATTCGTACCCCCGTCGCTGGCAGGCGCGGCCGGCTTGGCCGGGCACTCCAAGCTCCGCAGAAAAGGCCCCCGGCGCTGTCCCCGGCGCCTCCCGGATGAGAAGAGTGCTGTGAGCCCCTTACATAATGATGCAACTGACTGGAGCACAGTTCAGCCCAGATACGCACATGCCGCAAACCCAGGCCTCGCGATTTCATAGGGTGCTAGTGATAGCCTACAATGAAAACAGCACCGTATGCTCCAATGTGGATTATAATACAATGAAATGCAATCTAATAATAATGAAATGTACCTTCGCAACAGGGCATAATATAGGATGTTATATTTATAGGGCCTATTTATAAGCCTCTATTTAAGTCTTTTCTGATAGGCTCGGACTCGGGCCCAGACACCGTAATGATTGGGGCACTCTTCTGTCCTTCAAAGAGGCGGGTTCTAGAGTCCGTTTTGCCACAGCGGGCCCTGGGATTGGCCGGCAGCGGCGGAGCGGCGCCTTCGATTGGCCCCGAAGGCCGTCCGTCGGAGCGGAGGAGGCGGGGCAGGCGGCTGGCTGGTGCTGGGGCGGGCGGGCCCCGGAATTGTCATTTCTTTGTTTCCGAAGGCGGAGGAAGCGCTGAGCCCACACCTCCTCGTCCCACCCCCTCCCCCCGGGTGCTGGCTCCATGTCTGTGTGACCGGCCCCAGGGGTAGAGTCCAGGCCCGACGCGGGGCGGGCCGGCGGCGGCGGCTGAGGTGAGAGGCTGCGGCGGCGCGGGCACCCGGCCCCCCAGCGGGAGGATGAAGCGGCGGAACGCCGAGTGCAGTAAGCTCCGCCGCCCCCTAAAGCGGAACCGGATCACCGAGGGCATCTACGGCAGGTGAGCGGTGGCGCCCCCGCCTCCGCCGGCGCGGGCCCTGCGGCCCCCGGCCGTCTCTGGAGGGGCAGAGCCCCGTTATGTAACCCCGACTAGGCCTCACGCCCTTGCCGGGGGCTCCCCGGAGGAGCGCTGCCCATGGGGCCCCGGGCGGCCCGCCGGGGTCCGCCCCGAGGGCGCGGGGCGTGGCGAGGGCCGCCGGCCGGGCTGGGAGGGCGCGGCGGGCGCGGGCCGCCGTTGGGACTGTCCCCAACGGCGGTGACCCCCTCCCCATCCGCGCCGCCGGGCCCTCGGGGCTGCTCTAGGGGCTGACGGGCCTCCGCTGGTCCCCCAGCCCGCTCCGGCCCGAGAGTCGCCGGCCTGAGTCGGGAGGCGCGTGGACCATATGCATTGGTGCGGGGGAAGGCTGACAAAGTTGGGAGCAGACAGTGGCCCCGCGGTCCCTCTGCGGACTGGGCAGGTGGCCACGTTGCCCCCTTTCGCCTTTTACTTCTTTTATGGGATCTCAAACTTGGCACCGAGGGCTGAAGCCGATACCCCCAAATCATGGCCTGTGGCCCCGCTCCAGACTCAGAAGGAGTGATGATCATTTTCTCAGCAGCATTATTTTGACAATTCCAAGCAGATAGTTTTCTTCGACCCCTTTAAAAAGGATTTTCTCCAAACTCGCGTGGTTTGTTGTTGTTGCTTTTAGTTTGTTTTAATTCTCCAAAAACAAAGCAGTGTCCCTTTAAATAGAAATTGAATTCAGGACTGAGGGGTAGAAGGACAACAGGTTCATGGGGCAACTTAGTGAGAATCCCAGCTTCCCTAAGCAAAATTTGTGTAGTTCTCACAAATTCTCACAAAAATTTGTGTGGTTCTCACAGTGTTAATTCTGAATGGTACCTGCCTTGATAAAGAAATGATTTCAGAGGAGCAGTAATTAGTTTACAAAGGAGAATTCTCAGGATGTGCATATAAGCTTAATTGGTGTTTTACAGTTTAGCTCTTGTAGCTGTGGTACTTAGAGAAATATGTGAGGTAGCTGATAACACCCAAGTTGCCTTAGCATAGCTGTACACCTTGCACATGCTACTGTTTACACATTTAGAATGATTCCTTTCCACAAGCAGCTGACTGATGTAAACATTGGGTGTTTTTTTTAATTTCAAGGTTAAAAGGGTTAAGAAGTCAGTTGAAATAAAAAGTTTTTAGATATATCCTTATGTAATGAGCCGCAGATCATAGGAAGAGTTCATTCATTAAACAAATACATGCACTATGTGCCAGGCCCTGTTCTAGCTAGTAAGGGTGCAGCAGTGAGTAAAACAGGCCAAAATCCATGCTGAATCAGTCAAACCTGACCATTTAAACTAAAACTGTAAAAGCAAAAACCATTTTTCCTACGGATTTAATGGGTGGGGGAAAGTTCTCTTCAAGTTACACACACTATAATTCTTGAATAAAGGAAGGGTTTTCCCCCTGCCTATTGAAAAAGATTTGAACAATTTAATATTAATAGTGACACAAGAATAGAAAAAGCGTATTAAACAGAGTTGGTAAAGCAAGGTCAACCGTGCCATTTGAATGGCTGCTATTTACAGTAACGTATGATGATGTACTTCTGTTTATAGTGAGAAGATTGGGAATCCCATATTGTTTACATGTTTTCTGTCGTATTTCAACTTCTCTGGTATTTGAACAAATATGCCCAGTTTAGTGCCTGCCCCATAGTAACCACTCAATCAGTGTGCATCAATGTGAAGAAGTGAATTTATTGTGTAATGAAGGTCTATTATTTTACTGATGAACTTTTGGCATTTGAATTTTCTTACCCTAAAGGTTAATAGTAAATGCCCTATGCAAGTTATTCAGAGTTTCATCTGTAAAAGTTTAAAAAACCAACTGTATTTCAGCTCTCAAATATCCTTACTCTTCTCTATTTGGCATTCTTTAGGTTAAACGTTAATAAAAAACTTACATATATTTCTACTTTCTTTTCTCTTGGAGCATCATATATCAAATGAGTGTTTCAATTCACTTATCTGTTTCTTAGTTTATATTATGGAGTATTATATTATGGAGTATTATTGTCTGAAGAACAAGACCATAGTGTTGGGGTTGTTGTTTTTTGTTTTTACAATTTTGTTTTTAAAAAGATTTAGAAAATTTCCAGTTATTTCTAAAGCAGACAGAATGAGTGGGCTAGTTACAAATTAGGTGTTTGAGGATTTGTGAGTATCAAATTTCTGTTAATCATCACATTTAAGTCTACACTAAATTGTTTTTCACACCATTGCCCATTTTGTTTCTCAGTGTCTGGCCAATTTTTATCTCATTAGAGAGCTTTGTTTTTTTCTCAGGCTCCGTTGACAATTTTGATAACCACTATCTACTGTTTCACAGCATAACTTTTCATGGACTTATTATTTTCATGTTCTCAGTCTGCACAGCTCTCTGAGCTTGGCGTAGCAAGGAGGCAGCTGTGGTGAAGAGAGCACTGGACTGGGAGTGTCAGGAGACCTAGGTTCAGACGCAGTGTCCCAGCTCTGCTGTGTGGGATTGGCAGGGCATCCACCGCTTTGAGCCCCAGTTCTCTCACCTGTCAAGTGAGTTTTTTTTTTTTCCCCCGGTACGCGGGCCTCTTACTGTTGTGGCCTCCCCCGTTGCGGAGCGCAGGCTCCGGACGCGCAGGCTCAGCGGCCATGGCTCACGGGCCCAGCCGCTCCGCGGCATGTGGGATCTTACCGGACCTTGGCACAAACCCGCGTCCCCTGCATTGGCAGGCGGACTCTCAACCACTGCGCCACCAGGGAAGCCCTCGAGTGAGTTTTGAGGACTGAGAGGAAATAATGTACAGTTTGTGAAACTCTGTAAGTTCTAGCATGCTTAATACAAACATTATTTAGCATGTAGTTGTTATCGCAGTTTACCATATTTGTTTTATTTTTAAGGAGTCAGGAAAGACCATAAGGTTTGGTACAACTATCAAACAAAAGTTGAGTAGTCAAAACAAGGGGTCAGTTTCTGCTTGGTCTTGCTGAAAAAAAATCCTGTTGCTGAGATGCTTTTAATCATGGGCTCCAATCCAGCAACTGTGACTGAGGTGATTGTCAAATTATATCATTATTGTCATTATAATGGCTGTGGTAGAATTCTGTTTCAGGGGTAAGGTAGATGGAAAATGGATTTTAACATTATGTTAATATTACCTACATTTATATATATGTCCATCATTTGAAAACTGAAATGTATAGAAATATGTTATTCCTGTCAAGTTAGTAATCAAAAATAAGAGAAAGGAAATAAGAATGGTGATTATTTTCTTTTATATTATTATGACCTAAAATCAATGTCATTTTCAAAAAATCTGAGCCAGTATAGAGCCTGACAGAGAATAGGAATTCAGTCCTCGGTAAATGTTGAGCAAGTGAATTAGTAAATAAATGAATATAAAGCAATCCATTCTATTCATTTAAGAACCTGCGTTGTTTTGGTAATTATGGAGGATACAGGATAAGACATGGTTCCTTGTCTTCCAGGAGTTTACAGTCTAGGAGGCCATAATAATGCCCTCTTAAATTTGTACAGTGGTTTTGAGGTTCTAAAGAACTTTGAGTTCTGTTCAAGTAAGAATATTTTAGTTGAATTACATTTTCGCTTGCTGTTTTAGTGGTTCACCTGATGCATTAACAGTTTTGCCCTGTACTATTTTATGATGAAGTACACAGTTGCCACTATGTGAGGGAATACGTATTTTCTAACTCAAATGAAATAGATGTGAAAGTACTTTGGAAATTATGAAAAAAAAGTTATTAATAAGAGAAAGTAAAATGAATAACTCTACATGACTATAACATTTAAGAGGTCCTCGGGTTTTAGGGCAGTGACTCTCTCCCTGTGTCTGCCTTCACACACGCACCAGACGCTCCCCAAAGTAATATCTAATTACTCCATGCAGTGATTCTCCAGGTGAAGTGGGGTTGGAGTGCTATGTAGATTTTAAAAGGCTTAAGGGAATTCCGGGTGGTTCATTCCCCTTTCATCTTGCCAGGCTCCCTACTCCCCCCTGAGAATTAATGATTTTATAATAGGAAGATGAGGAGATAAGGTGTGGTGAGTAGAAGACAGAGGCAGAAACATTTATGTTTAAAGTCTCTGCAGTTAAAATTGTTCCTTACCCAAGTAAGTAATATAAGAATTTTAAGTAAGGCAGGTGTTTTAAGCTTCAGGAAATTATTTTATAGCTTTGTTACTGGTGGTTGAAGGAAGCACTCCTTCACTGGTGGATTTCTGGATGCTTCCTGTCATGGTGTGCTGGGTTCTCCTTGTAGTATGTTGCCTGAAGCTTAAGCAGTGTAGTACTGTACCTGACTTTTACATTTTAGGACTCGAGACTTTCCTGGTATATACAGTACCTTTTCCCATCCTTACTTCAGAGAAGAGTTTTCTGGCCTTTGACTTTCTAAATGGTCAAAGTTTACATACTTCTCAGCTTCCTAATTTCCTTTTTCAGACCCTTGTCTAAATAATCTGATCTCCAGAGATTTCACTTCTCTGCTTTTCCTGCCCACCTTAATGATGTTTCCTAAGCCTAGTTTTAGACTCCTTTGGGCTGTGCTTACTAAAGCCACTGGAGGCTGGCATGACCCTTGGCTGCCTTGAGTGTACATGTGTTCTGCAACTGAAACCCCAGATACCAGTGTTGCAACCTCACAGCCTAAAAGCATTTTGGTAATCTTGGTAGGCCTTAACTTCAACTATGCTGGACTTGACATAAAAGTGATAAATGCAGTATTGTTTTAGAGGGGTATCGGGTAGGGGGGTAAGTACAATAGAGAAATTAGAAACTGAAATGTTTTTACTCACCTCTAATGAGGTGTTGAGCTAAACCCTTGTATTTGCAGTTTGTGTGAAATACATTGAAACAAATCTGCCACACTGGAATTTTGTACTTAATTTTTGCTAGTAGTATATGACCTTAAAAAAAAAAGTACTTTCCTCCAGTTTTCATTTATGAT